AAATCAGTTGGTTTAGATAAAAAAATCATTTACTTGAGGAGAACATTGGAATAAAAATAGAGTGCAGAGAGTAGCTGTAAATTGAGCATTTTCAAATTGAACTAAAGCAGTAGCTGGAGTGCCTCTGGGTTCTGTCCTGAATCTACTTTATTTTGTTTATAAATTACATTGAAGTGGGCATTGAAAGTCATGTGTCGGTGTGTCGTGTGTATAATTTCTCCACAGAGGGATATAGATAAATTGGGCAGGCAAGTGGCAGATGAGATTCAATACAGATGAGTACAACCACTAGAAGGACTTCCTGGATGCAGTCCTGCAAAAGATTGCAGGACCAATGTTCGGAGCCTATACACTCGGCTTGGAAACACTCAATGCACCCACAGCGATGCATTAACTCAATGAATCTCTAGGAGTAGTGGCTAATTGGTGATTTGCACACTGGCCTCCCAATGCATGGGAAAGCATTTGATTGGCTGAGGTCATTAGGACTGATGATCTCAGTCTGAGAGGCAGGGTAGCCGTATCAGGGAAGTATACTGTAACGAACCCCTTGTACTTAATTTAGTACATTCGTTCGCACACTCCCGAACTTGTAGAGGCTTGAGTGGTTATAGCCCACTCACATAGTACGCTAGTTTATACTCTCCCAAAAGTCCAGTAGATCGTGGTTAAAATCAATCGCTTCTTCATTCGCATACCCAAACATCAGTCGAGACTTGATGAAGGGTACAACAGGAATGTTTTATCATGGCCAGATGGCCATGCAAAAGTATGGTAAAGCACTCCCAGGAGTCTCTGTGTCTGGGAGACATTTGAGTGTACTTTGCTTAACCTAATTATCTCACAGGCATTAGATACACAAAATATAAAACATAAAACACCCCAAAATACATATAACATACATAGGAACCCCCACAAGTATTATATCCCCGGATAGCCTGGATCTGAGCACATATCCAAATAGCACTCAGATCCCATGAACAAAGCCGAAATGCCACCGGGGTAAAGTTTTGACCAACCGCAAACATGGACCTGCCCAAATTAATTCCAGAGAAATAGTGGTTGCGGTCAATAACCTTCGGGAGTTCCAAATCGAACTATTCGCCTGACTCATAGGTAGCGATTGTTTGCCTTGTTCGTGTGAACAATCCTTCCCGAACAGCACTCTCTTTGCTTGTCGTGAAAAGAAGCAGGCGTTCGTACCAAATCACTGGTGTTCGCGGGGTCAAGTGTCCGTTTTAGAGTTCCAGACACTCAACGAGAAAGTACTGTTGCCTGATTTTGCCACATAGAGAGAGCACTTACTTTTGTGGTTTTCTTTGAAGTTAAATGAGCAAGGGTGATGGTCTGGGAAATTACAGGGTTTTGTCACATAAATGTTCCTGGGCGGGTAGGTAGGATAACAATATAGTGTTAGGTATACTTATCTGTATTCCTTATGCTATACTATTCCTTTACAATTTGGCTAGCACAACTTATATATATGAGATTGTTTTATCTTGAAAAACCAAGCTAGTCATAACAAATGCAATTTAAACACTTTTAAAGCCACATAGGGTCTACCTACGTCATTTCCAAAATAATAAATTTCTAGAAAGAGAAGAACACAGAAACTAACTCTAATAAAAACCCATTATATCTAACTATCTGACTACTGGAATAAGTCAGTATTTTAATTCAAAAAAGAGGAAAAAAATTTAACCATTCAACAACATGACAATTTCATATATGCATCTATAATATTAAAAACTGTTCTGTGCTTCCTACTATACCAGCGTTTACTTCCAAAAATCACAACAATTTTTCTTGCATTTCTCTTTAGTAACCACAGGCAATTTAAACAAGAGCAACATGATAATTTGATGAAATTTCCCATTGAGAAAATGATCTTATGTTTTCTTTTGTTTATTCATTGAGAAGTGAAGAAAGGAAATCCTGGGAATATCTAATGGAAAACAAACCGCAATGTACAATACATTCCGGGACTCCTGTTAGATTCTCAAATTATAAACTAAAGTTTTGCCGCATTTGCCAGATCTGTTTAATTTATTTTTTTTGTTCTGGAATGTGTCAGTCTCTATGATTAAAGATGTCCTGTGGTTTAGGTGAAATATCCTTTAAAATATCTTGAAATGAATAAGCTTACTGGCAAAAAGGTCTTTTTTTTTGTACAGGATACATATTTTGTAGTACGTCATTATCTGGATTTTACATAAATGACATAAGTTATTAAATTGATTAAATATATGAGCAACATAGGCAGGGCTGCTTAACAATTATAATGTGACACAGAACAGTCTCCAGAAAGACAAACGCTTCAATTTTTCTTGGCTTACTGCGATGATTTTTCTTTTCATGTTCAGATTGAGAGCAGTGCAATCAATGGCCAAAGAAATTGTTTGTGTATTGTAAATGTTCCAGCATTTACATGCACTGTGGGAAATCTTTGTAATGTGTTTAGTACGGTAATGCAAGCCAGAATAGGCATGAAAGAAGTCTCAGTGCCTGATCTATGACCTATACGCACGGCTAATTTACCTAGCTATGTGGTCTTCTTTTCAAGGATTTTGTTGCCATGAAAACATTTTGTTGTCTACTTTTTAATACTGTACATTGTCAGCGTAGGTTAAAAGATACAACAATAAAAATACTCAAAAAAGTTAGTTTGCTTTAACAGCTTTTACATATATATTCAATTTTACATTTGTTTTTATGCATCTGCATGCTTATGTTGGTTTAAATATAAGATTTGTCCATCACAAACAAAAAACAGAGAAAAATTAAAACATTTGTGTCTTTCCCCATATATTTTGATCATTAGTTACTACTATACTAAATTAAACTGACAAGTAGGAAAAATAAAATGTTTTTGTGATGAAACTATACAGAATAAGTTTAGAAAATAAAGTTGAAAAAAATATCTACATTTTTTGAAATTAAAGTCGAAGTAAAAAGAAATATGAGGGGGGAAAAAAGCACATTCAAGTAAGATTGTAAATATTGAGGACACCCACCAATTTATAGACATTTAGCTCACAAAATGTAGAACATTTGCATGGGCTGTAAAAATCATGGCAAATCACTGGTATACATTTCACGAGAGGAAAATCTATAAATTACACCTCGTGGGTGTCCTCAGTATATATAATATTGCCATTCTATGTTTTTCTTATTTAGTTTATTTGCTTATTTTCCATTCGTCTGACGTATGCTGGACTATGCTTTGTGCATAACGGGATGCTTAATTCATAATTCTAACCAACAATGAGAAGGTCACAAGGATTGCGATAAAATGTAATATACAAAAATGAATTTCCATTTATGGTCTTGTTGTGCATGTTCTTGGTTCAAGAATTTAGTTTTATGAATGCTAATAACATAATACATCTAAAATGGATTATCATCACAGATGTTTTTCAAAGGTTGCATGCTCCTTTGGTGATTAAATGATCCATTGTGTCATGCCATTGTTGAAAGATTTTTAAGATCTTATAAATAAACAAAAAGATTTCAAGAGAAATAAGTCAAACTGGCTGCATATGAATGCCAGGATTTGTGGTCACGCTCCGTAGAAGCAGCATACTGCTTGGTAACATAGATTTTCATAGTGCATAATAGCCAATTGGTTCATTTAATGTGCCCATTTTCTATCTAAGTGCAATGACATTGCTTATGATTGAGTTTTCTGTTCAGCATAGTGGAGCATTAATTCCATGATTTCTTGAAGTTGACCAACTTATTCAACTCTAGTGCCTCTGACAGAAGGCTGTTCTGTGCCTATTTTTCTTTAGCAAGTTTTGAAGAAAGAACGAAAAAAAAAATATTACACAGTCAAAAAGAAAAAGAAAATCCCACGTAGGGAGTAGGATAAGAGAGGAAAGTACTACAGCAGAACAATGTACATAAAAAAAGAAGTATAATTGTTGCAATAAAAAGCACATGGGAATACTGGCAAAAGAATCATGCCAACGAATAGCAGTTGAATATCAGTATTAACAAAATAGTGCAAAGAGGCCTGTGATTAGGCTAAATCCCTGAGTAGCAGATACCACTCATGGGTACCAAATGTAAAGAGAGCATGGAAAGAGTAAGAAGGGAGACCCCACCAGGGGGAGACAGAAGAAAAGAGAAGTAAGGAAGAGGGGGGGGATATGGGTAGTCAAGTTAAGGGACAGGGAGGGGACCAACTAGATCATCTGAGGCTCCGACACCAGACCTCTCATTTAGATGCTTCTCACTTTGATATTCAAGCAACGAAGACAAATACTGTTCTTGTCTCTGTTATATGGAACCAGTTATCTCCTCTTTAGTTGTTATATCATAAACTTACACTATCTATTGCAGGAACCGGGTTTAATGTTTTGGCAGCATTTAAAGGTGTTTGGCAAGGGATTTTGCAGCTATAGATAGGCAAATTGATATGGTGGAGTAAAAACTCTGCAGGGAGTAATAGGGGAGGGCTCTTAAGTACATAACACAGGGCTCCAAGTATTCCCACCTAATGAGCAGCATGAGTTTATAGTCTGTCCACTGTATTTTCTTTTAAATTCTTTATTTTTTCTGTGCCCAGAGTAACAACAAGCGTGCAGAGCCACAACAGCGTCCGCAGGCACTCTCCATAACATTTTGTAGTCTAGGCAGCACATTTTTGATATAACATGAATGATACAGGCAATTAGACAGAAGTGTGTTATATTTTAGCATGCTAGGCTGAATGTGCATATATCATGGCTAGTTGCGTTGAGGCTTATGAGTATCTAGCATTACATTGTTGAGAAAGATAGCTGTCATGTTTAGGGTGTAGATTGCACGGTATCAACTGAGTATTTATATCAGCAGCTCCACCGCTAGTTTTAAATCAAGTGTTAGTTGCCCCATGAGATGAGACTAGTGAATAACATAATACATGAACGGTTAAGGTAAAGGCATGTAAGGAACTACAGTAATAAACTCTTTAGGAGGTTAAATAATGACATGTTTAAACGCTTGCTACTTTACGATTAGTTAATGTGCAGAGAGCAGTTCATTTGATCAAAGGTATGGTGTGGAGGATCGGCTATAGCGGGACATGCTTGACGTGCTGCAGTTTTCTGCTTGTGCTCATCCGATCCCTTCTGGGCACCAGGTGCAGGGCCTGAGAGTCCCTGATACCTGGAACAACAAAGGCAAGTCTCCGGCTGAGTGTCGGGTTCACGGCTTGTGGTGGTGAAAGCTTGTTTTGTCGGGTGATCGGCTCTGTCTCGGTGGTGCTTCCCATCCGGTGCGGGGCTGTGGCGGCTTAAGGTGGAATGCTTGACGTGGGGCATGCTCTGCGTTTCTGTTTGTCCCATCTTCGGCGCCTTTTTGGGGAGCCCCTGGCGACTATCAGACTGTATTTGCCCCTGGGGCCTGAGAGTGCCGGGGGTGACTCAGGAATAGTCTGCTTGGTTTCAGTTTTTTTGAACTCCCTCTCCAAAATCCTGGCCCAAAAGGCAGCAATAATTTTGTCCAGCTTGGTCAGGATGTCCTTTGTCCGCTCCCCGCATGCCCCCTTGGTTGTCGGCTTGTGTGTGGCAATTGCCATTTTGGAGTCAGTATCTCCTGATGCATGTGGTCTCTGGGACGTGGGTATCAGCAGTGGGTCTGTTACTAGTATCGGGATATCCCCCACCGGCTGGGGGGGGGGAGGAAGGCTCGTGGGTGGTCCTCCGCAGCTTGAGTGTTGGCTTTCAGGGAGTCCCAGGCTGGGTGATCGGCCACCACACCTGCGCCCTAACCTCCATGTAGGCCGGTAAACAGGCTTATTGTTGATGCGGTAGGCCCCAGTGTCGTAGCGTGCGTTCTCGGCGGCTCAGCGTTTCGGGAATAGTCTCGATTTGATCTCACTTGCAGCCCCTACAATTCTGGGTGATATTGCAGCATGAGAGCTAGGTTTATTTCTCGTAAAGTTACATTTCAGGCGGGAGCTCATGCTACATGCGTCTGAGTAGCTCCACTGCCAGGCTCCGCCCCCCTGTCCACTGTATTTTTAAGGAGTTGATGCTCTGAAAATAAATATAAAATATTTTTTTTTTGTCCATTGTTCCTTTCTGAAAACTTGTCCTAGCGAGTTTGTGCTTTTTTAATACTTTTTTTGTGAAATGTGCTTAACTATAAAATGTATGGCTTGTAGGGTTATTTTTTTATAGGTTTTTTTTTTCCAAAGCTCAGATTACTAGTAGTGAAGAGAAGATACACATTTCAAGGATTCAAATATATTTTCATGTAAGAACTAAAAAAAAAAAAAGGACTACGCCGACAAGTGAGTGAAAAGAGAGAGCAGGAGAACCCTTCTTTCTTGCTCCTTATTATTGATATTCCCCAAGCAATTGGATTTTACCATTTTATCTCTGCTGGGGAAATATTATAATTGCAGGACAGATATCATTTTGTTCTTTTATTGTTATTATCATTATCATTGTGCACCAATATATTCCTCAATACTGGACAAAACCATACTAAAAACATAGTAATTGGTGGCACAATATATTTAAGGATCTCTTGCTCTTAAGGTTAGCAAAGCATTAGAGGAGTTGTAGTCCTGCGGCAGCTGGTGATCTACTTTCTGCCCCTTCCCCCCTTGTATTAAAAAATGTACAACCCTAGTCAGGCCTTTTTTGATGTAATCAGAATCTCATTAAATTGTTTGTTTTAGAAATCTTTCCCATCACCTTTTATATATGTTGAGTTCTGAGCCAATTTCTTTAGAAACGTCTACAAAAAAAAAGGTCCATTAAAGTTGTATATCAGCAGGAAATACTTTTTATTGTCTATAAGTGTCCCTAAATGTGTACAAACAATCCTTCATAATTTAATTTGACACTTAGAATGAATGTTATTAACTAGACTGTAGTTTCTGTAAGACTGTAACATCACTGCCAAAAATCATATGGGTCAGTTTGATTCCATAAATTTAACTGACATATTTTTCTAAAAACTGAATTAAAAGATAAGATTAAATGTTTTAAACCAGGTTTTAGTAGACGTTGAGTGAGTGGAAACATTGCAACATTGCAAGAGATTGCAGGGAAGAAAAACATAATGGAAATACATTTTAAAATGACAAATCCAATCCCCAAGACACAAAATAAGAGAGAGCCAGGATCAACCCCATTCCCTAATATCACCCTATTTCAGGGGTAGGCAACCTTCAGCAATCCAAATGTTGTGGATGACATCCCCTATAATGCTCTAACAGACATAATGCTGGCAATGCATCAAGGGACATGTAGTCCACAACACCTGGAGTTCCAAAGGTCGCCTACCCCTGGGATAACTAGAGCACTGTATATGTTGTGATTGAAGCTTTAATATTACTTACACCCTTGACTTGCTGTTTATGGCCCAAAAGAATTATGAGCAAAAACAAAGTTTATATAGCTTTTTTCTCAGGTAATTTCATAATAACAATGTAATAGTAATATAGGTTAAAATAGTACATAGTACCATAAAGTCCAGACATTATTTCATCTCTGTTGCTGCTGTAGATCTAAATGAAGGAAAAATACTAAATTGAAGAAATTCCTATAAAAGGACAAAAATCCTTTTTTGACATCAATCTTTCACTCAGTTTTCTCATTATACCAGCAAACTATTAAAGCACCATAACATTGTAGTCCATTTTACCATTTTCTGTCAAACGACTTTTGAGTTTCTTAGCAAAAACTGGGGCTCTGCCTATTGCCCAAATCCTGACAATTCATCAGATACTTGGGTAATACCAAGGTTTGCGTTCCGCATCATACTTCCAAAGGTACCCAAGCTCATATGCCAACTGTGGCAACTGTGAGCACTGAGTAATCCACCTTGCTGGCACCATGATTGTATGGCTTGTTATTGATATTTAATTCTGTCCATATGCAACTGTCTATGTCTCTGGATGTCCTGTTACTTCTTCAGGCTTCTTTTGCCAATGGTTTCACCACTATATTTAAAATTAAGCGGTAGATTTCATACTGATACTGTTTTTCTAACAGGTGAATTTCTTGTAATATGTACAGTCTAGTTAATTAATATTCCACCAGAGATGCTTGTATTGGTTCTATATATTTGTACAGTTATTATACTATTTAAGGTCCTACTATTTTCTAAGTTGGAGACCCCTAGGTACAGTTTTTGCCCACTTATGTTTTCTCCTTATACTGCCATAAATTTGTATAATTCCTTCTCATTATCTATATCAGTGGCTTCCAAACCAGTCATCATGGCCCACCAACAATTCAGGATTGACGTATTTCCATGTTTTATTCCAATGGAGATACTGACAAAACCTGGACTGTTGGTGGTTCTTGAGAATTGGTTTGGGAAACACTGATCTATATAATTGATTTAGCCCTATTTATACCAAAATACATATCATTGTATTGGATAGATTCTGAGAGAAATAGAAGTTTTAGATTTATATTTTGTTCATGTTCCACCTTTGCAAGGCTAAGCAATTTTTACCTTTTAATGTGTGCTCATAAATACAATGTACCAATACTTTTTAGCAGTGGTTTATAACTTTTTCTATCACATTTCTGTGGGACAAAGTTGTCCCACAATGCTTCTTTCTTATCAATATATTTATCATTAATCTACCAACATCACAGATACCATTACCATGAACCAATTCACAGATTGTAAGAGATAAAATAGGTACAGAAATGTAGGAGGTATCAGTCTCTAATGAAATTCACTCAGGCAGGCTATCCAGAATACGAATTTGTAATGGAAAGAATGGGCTTTTGGTTAGAGATCATAATTATTAAATAAGATCAAAAGAAATTGGATACACTGCCTTTTCTACCTTCTTCTAATACCAACGGCAATGAGATTTTTCATATTGTTAAAAAAATATTGGCATATCATCAAAAATGACAATAAGGAGATTAGGAAATTCCATTTTCCACTGATGATAAATGGGCAAATCATATAAAATGACTGGTATATTCACAAGATACATGGGATCTGAGCAAGGATGTTTAAAGGCACCCAAACCACTTCTGCCCATTGGAGTGGTCTGGGTGCCAACTCCCACTACCCTTAACCCTGCAACTGTAATTATTGCAGTTTTCATAAACTGCAATATTTACCTTGAAGGGTTAAGTTCTCCTCTAGTGGCTGTCTACCAGACAGCCACTAGAGGACACTTCCGTGTTCATAGAACACGAAAAGTGTGCCATAAAGTCGCTGGACGTCTTCATGCTATGTGAGAACCTCCAGGGTCGCTGAAATCCCCATAGGAAAGCATTGAAAGCATTATTCAATTCTTTCCTATAGGGAGGTCTAATGCGCGTGCACATTAATTCTCCTCCAACGCCGCATGCTCAATAGGTCTCCCCTGCCGGATGATGTTGGCGGGGGAGGAGCATGGACGGACCCTTACCCAGCGCCGAGGATACAGGTAAGTCACTGAAGGGGTTTTAACCCCTTCAGCAACCTGCGATGGGGGGTGGGAGGGAGAGGGGAACTGCAGTGCCAGGAAAATGGTTTATTTTCCTGGCACTGGAGTGTCCCTTTAAGACAAGTACATTGCTGCCATCAAATGTTTTACATTCCCATGGAAACAGACAATATATTTTTTTAAAGTATTTTTTAGATTATGTGGAGGAGACAAACCAGAGGGTGAAAATGTAATGATCTAAATTAAATGTGTTCTCACTTAGAACCAATACATTAAAAAAAACATAACATTAAACTGGCTCTGTCACATCTCATTATTTCATAAGTATATATTATTTATGAAATACTGTTGCTTACTGTGTTGGAATAACATTTAAATTCCGACACAATCTAAATATACCATAAGGCAAAGTAGGGACCACTTTGTTTTATGGGCAAGCCTGAAGTTGACAAAATACAGAACTCTGGCATCAACATTTGTCCAATTGTCTTGCTCATTCTGAGACATGATCTATGGTGGCTTCGTTGGTTGCTTTGTTGTACTTTTGTGCATGCATAAGTGTACAGCACTGACATGGCTGCTGGCAAATGGAGTCGAAAGACCAGGAAGAGAGATTGGTGCCTCTGAGAGACAGTTCAGGTAAGTAAGTCTACCTACCACTCCACTCCATGGACATTGGACCCTAGCTGAAGATGTCACCTTTGGAAAATGCCTTAATTAACAATCATACACATCAAGTTACTAACATAAAGTAACAGAAGTCAATGTCTTTAAAAAAAAAAAAAGGTTTCCACTTTCTTACATTCTGTTTTGCATTTTTTAGAGTGATGTTACTAGCTTCTATTGAGTTACACATCATAAATACATAGAATAATATTACTATTAAATGCTTATCTGAATATCTTGATTTAAGCCCCTACTTAAATC